TAGATTTGAGTCCTGCCTTACTAACACAACTGCCACCCATCCTCCCTCATTAACATCATAGAGGCAGGATTTACAACATATAGGAAAACCACACAATATCAGGAATCATGGCCTGGCCGAATTGATACACACATTTTTTGGGGGATGTAATTCAAACCATGACACAGTGTCTTTGAAGTATTTCAATAAAGAACCACTGTCCTTATTTAGAAACACAAGTCTGATACTTTAATTGTACTTTCACATTGACAGTTGTCATTTATGAATTTTCTGCATGATTTAAAGTAAGTTGTCTAAATAACAGAAGATCACATGGTACAGGACATGTAGCAACAATGGGGGAAAAGCAGGGACTTGAAAATGGCAGAAGTCTAGCTGTCTGTGTTTTGATGATGCAGAACCATCCTGGTTTCATCTTTTTTTTAACATAGATATGATGCGTTTTTTTAAACATAGATATAATAATGCATTTGGAGCCGTGGTGGCACAGTGGTTAAGAGCTCAGCTACTAACCAAAAGATCAGCAGTTTGAATCCACCAGCTGCTCCTTGGAAACCCTATGGGGCAGTTCTACTCTGTCCTATAGGGTCGCTATGCATTGGAGTCGACTCTATGGCAGTGGGTTTGGTTTTTGTTTTGTTTTTTTATTGTACTTTATTTTTTTTTGAATTTTTTAAAATTTTTTTATTGTACTTTAGATGAAGGTTTACAGAACAAATAGTTTCTCATTGAACAGTCAGTACACATATTGTTTTATGACATTGGTTAACAACTCCACGATATGTCAACCCTCTCCCTTCCTGAACTTTTTTTTTTGGTGAAAATGTACATAGCTAAAGATGGTTTTTGGTTTTTAATGATGCATTTGTAATATTTTTCATTTGATATGAGCTGTCTGAACTATGCAGTCCCTATGATTAACACTGTCAACTGCTAACCACAAGGTTGGTGGTTCAAGTCCACCCAGAGGTGCCTTGGAAGAAAGGCCTGGTTATCTACTTCAGAAAATCAGCTGTTGAAAACACTATGGAACACATTTCTACTCGGACACCCATGGGGTTTCTGTGAGTTAGAATGGAGGGCAGCTAGTTTTACCTGGACTGTAAGATTGACCTTGAAGTGCACCGAATGTTTATTTCTATTCTCTAGAAGATTTAACACATAGTATAACACATAGTGTAACACACTTTATAGTATAATACCATGTGCTATACTATGTTAAGTCTTCTAGAGAATAGAAGTAAACATTCATTGCACTTCAAGATCAGTCTTACAGTCCAGGTAAAACCAGTTGCCCTCCATTCTAACTCACAGCGACCCCACATGGTATATTATTTATAGGAGCCCTGGTGGCGCAGTGGTTAAGCACTCGGCTTCGAACCAAAAGGTCAGTGGTTCGAACCACCACCTGCTCCGTGGGAGAAAGATGTGGCAGTCTGCTTCTGTAAAGATTACAGCCTTGGAAACCCTATGGGGCAGTTCTACTCTTTCCTGTAGGGTGGCTATGAGTTGAAATCGATTTGACAGCACACAACAACAAAATGCTGCTGTGGGCTTGCTTAGTTTGTTAGCCTACATTCGTTTCATGTTTCAGATAGCTGTATATTGTTTCCTTCTCTAGCGTGTGAGCTGCATTGTTTTCCTTCAGCGCTGTTCAACAGAACTCTGATGAAGGAAGGGTACTTTCTGCTGTGTTCAGCGTAGAACACTAGTTACATGTGCCTGTTGAGCACTTTAATGGGGCTAGAGCAACGGGGGAACAAAATTTTTAATTTAAATTTAAATAGGCACATGTGGCTAGTGGTTACCTATTGTACAGCACAGCTCTAGATTATCAGTCCCTCAGGAAACCTGCTCGGACCCTCCTGAACCTGCACTCTGCCCCGTCGTAGCCCTTACCACAATTACACAGTAATGGCAGCTTATCTATAGGAGTCCCACGCTCGGCTGTCATTGACGTGAGGGCAGGGCATGTCGATTTTCTTTACCCTCTTCTTTGTCCTCCCCTCCTATTCATAGCCTAGGACCTAGTAAGAAACTCAGTAATTGTTGAATGAATACGTAGTCTTGAGAACAGGTATCTTACCTTTTATATTCTCTTTAGGGCCTAGAGCTGACAAAACATCAAATATACAAATACACATTTAGTGGTTGAACAGTTTTTATGTAGGTCATAAGTACATGGATTACTGGATGTATGCTTAAACACTTATTTTGGTTAGATTACTTTTTTTTTTTGACTCTCATGAAAATAAAGACTCACGATAAATAAAGTACTATATGAAGTTGAATGAAGGGACCTTACGATTCCAGCTCGTGTGGATACAGCTTTGTTGTTGTGTGGCATCAAATCGCTTCCAACTCATAGTGACCCTGTATGACAGAGTGGAAGTGCCTCGTAGTGTTTTCTAGGCTGTAAGCTTTATTTACTGTACCATTGGTGCTGCCAGGGCTCCTGGACAGAGCTTAGAGTTCTTGTTAGTTGAGCAGCTCAAGGATGCTGTTTTTGCATCATGTCTCAGATTAATAATGCTAGTCTCTTGGCTGTAGCAAGGGTCCTTAGCAGGGCCTTGACAGCCCTGAACTGCTCAGAGGAAGTTAGTGTGTATCTCTGTTCTCCATCCTGTGTTAGGGCATGGACCAGGAGTCTCTGAAAAACCTTGATAGTAGAGCCGAGTTAGAAAATGCTTTTGCTCAGAGCTAATTTGGGTGATGAGGTAGGTGGAATTCCTATCTAAATTGAAGTTTTGGGAACCTGCTTCTTGGCTATTTTAACTATAACCCCCTTGCAGTTGAGTCGATTCTGATTCATAGTGACCCTACAGGACAGAGGAGAACTGCCTCATAGGGTTTCCAAGGAACAGCTGGTGGATTTGAACTGCCGACCTTCGTGGTTAGCAGCTGAACTCTTAACCACTGCACCACCAGGCATCTTTTATGTACACAGTTACTTAGGGTTATCTTAGGCTTACTTTGTATAATCAGTTATTATCAGTTAACCGTAGCAGGGTCTGGAATGAAAGTGTGTACTCAATCCAGATCTGTCCATCTCTCAGTTTGACCAAGGTTCCCATATATCCTAGGTCCTCAGATCCACAAATTGCTTTTGGGGAAGGATTCTAAGACTATACAGAAGTCTGTGGAGGTGTGTATGGTTTTCTTCAGTGGGCAAAAGGTTGGATGTTAAGCTTTTTCATTAAGGAAAATAAATGGGACTAGGAAAAATTGCAAGGAAGGCACAGAATACAAACAACGTTCACTAAATTTGTCAGGTAATATAACTTCTCTGGGCTTAAGATTTCTAGCATGTGAAACGATGAAATTGACTAGATCTTGTTAAATGTATTATATTTCCACCTAGAATCTAGGATTCAAATATTAAATATATGTAAAACACCATTCTTATGGGAAGCGATACTTGTGTAAGATATAGTTCTTATCTTTAAGGATCATAACAGTTTATAAGGAAATTAAGGGTGCTCTGAGGATAACTTTCAAAAATATTTTTGAAGGGGAAATTCTTTTTTTTTGAATGGTAAGTCATTTGGTTTGGACCCTCTTAACCAGCTCAGGAAGATAACCGCTCAATCACTTTGCTGAAGAATTCAGAGTATAAAAAGCATAACTGAGTCCAAAAGTGTGTTTATAGCCAGATCAGTCTTCCTAAAACACAGCTTGAATCATGCCACTCCCCTTTTTAAAAATCAGTAGTTTCCCAGTGATTATGGGATTATGTGGTTTGGTCTTTGGTATTTAAAGTGCCCCTCAGTATAGCCCTCAGAAGCTCTCATGTCCTTACCTTTTACTGTTCCCCTAGATGGACCCCACGTTTCAACCTGCTGTTCCTTTAATGTACTTTTCTTGTCAATTTCTGCTCCAGTTTCTGTTTATCCATACTGCAAGACCCCTCTGGGGATGCCGTGTTCACTGAGCCATTTCTGGTTCTCAGAAGATCACATAGCAAAGACTTTTGTATTTATGTTTTGGAACATATCCCATTCCGTCTCATAGTCTGCAGTTATTAGTGTTATTCAGTCTCATAAATTGTCAGCTATCTAGCAAGCATGAACTTGTGTGTTACTAATTTTTGTAATCTCTGATACATCTAGAATAGTTCCTTGTACACAGTGGTTCCTTAATAGATATTAAATTTTATTTCTCTTCCTTGACTTTAAAGGATACTTTATACCCTGTGTGGAATATTTTGCCAAAATTCACCCGCAGCAAGTGGAGGCCAGCAAGAAGAAATCCTGATTTAGGAAGAAGCTATAGTGTTATAGGAGGGCCGTCTTTATGATATGTCCGACTTTTTGCAATTGATAGTATTTGAGGAAGATCGCCACTGCTGTATAGCACCAATTCCTTGTCCCTGTCACCTTCCTATATATGTGGCCAAGTTAATGTCAAAATGATTCATAGTATTGAGTGGCAGGTAGTTTTAGCATCCAAGAAAGCTTAAGTACCTCTAGCGTAGTAACACTGGACTTGGTTATTTAATGTATATTATCCGCTTCATGTAAACATACACCTTATGAGAGAAAATAAGGCATTCTACTCTGCTAGTTCCTGCTAGTGTTGAGAAAACATGATTCAAATTGAAAAGAAATCAGTTAGCTCAGGGAGGCATTATTTACTGCTAGAGTAAGCTATCAGTTCACCATTTCTACTTATTCTGCTTTTTTGTACTGAAATCATCTGAAAATAATTTTTCTTTGGTTTTGTGATATGATTTTCTGCTTATATTTAAAAACAGATATAAAAAATCAAACCAAACCTGTTGCCATTGAGTTGATTGCAACTCATAGCACCACTATAGGACAGAGTAGAACTGTCCCATAGGGTTTCCAAGGAGCAACTGGTTGCTTCAGACTGCTGACCTTTTGGTTAGCAGCTGAGCTCTTAACCACTGGGCCACCAGGGTTCCAAAAAAACCCAGTTACGGGGTTCATAATATTTCAGACTTTAAAGGTCTGATGCAACAGAAACCAGAAGGTGTGTGGCTTCATAGTTCAGTTCTACTTAGTGTTTTCTCCATCTTCTATGTCATTTCTGAGATGTAGGCTGGAGTACAGCATATGCATAATTTAGAGCAAATTTATTACTAAGCGCTCGTATTTTCCAGGAAAAAGGTGATGTGAGTGACTATAGTTTAAAAGACATTGCCTGCTGTCTTCTGCTAGGATAAAATAAACATATCCGTGGACATTGTTAAGTAAGGAGTGAAAGGTGTCAGTAAGCTCTTAGATCTGTAGGAGTGACGTGATTAATTTTTAGTAAAGTTGTCTGGGGTATGAGGAAATAATGGGACCATTCTAAACTAGATTGTTTTCATGAGGTGAGCACATGGCATGAGCTGTTGAATGACATGATATAATCTGTGTCAGCATCTATGAGAAGTTAAAGACTTATCTACAAGGGATAATATGCCATGTGTGTTACTGTGAGTAAAGGGAATGTCGTCACTCATTTGGATTCGCTCAGCATTTTAAAAATGGTTTCCCCTGTTATTGGGAAATATATAGTTGTTTATTACTCTTGAGCTGTATAGAGGCAATGTGAAGCAATATACATTTTTTTTTAACAACAGTTTGCTAAAAGTAAGGTTTTTTTCCTCTTCTCATAATAAAAAAGATTCTTGAAGGTTAAAGTTGAAATTTCAGTAGGTTAGATAATAAAAGTTAAAAGAACATGGGTTTTTGTGATTGAAAGCAATCATTCTGAGTTGCATACAAATAGATACTTTTGTTTGTTTGTTTTCTTCATTAAAGGTGGCTTTCTAGAAGATGACCATAGAGGACCTTCCGGATCTTTCATTAGAAGTAAATCCTTTGATTGGAAGATACCCATTTTTATTTCCAGGTTCTGATACACCAGTTATCTTTTCTGTTTCTGCAGCACCAATGCCTTCAGACTGTGGTATGTTAAGTAACTGTTTATTTTCTACGAACTCGTCGCTTGACTTCTGTCTTATCCTCTTTTTGCACTCATAATTTTCCCCAAAACCATTTGCTACGGTTTTCATAAAATTTGCTAAAATTTTTCTTTTTTTAAAATACAATTGCTTATTTACTTTTTCTGCCCCTTAAGCTGCATGCTTCATTTCTGCTATCAGCATTTTTATTATGTGAAAACATTCATTTTAAGCACCATGGTGGATTTAGAGGATTTTATTTTTAGAATGCAATGGTGATTAGATATCTAGCATTTTTCTGCTATTGATGTATTTACTTTGGTTAAATATACTGACTTGCTAAAAAAGCCATGTAATTAAGCAGAGGAGGATAAGATACTGTCCCCTGGAATGTGGAGTGAGATTGGTTCATAGATTCTCCTTTAAATCTCCTCTGTAAAACTTAAATATAGAAGTGTTCCAATTTTCATCCTACTTAGACTTATTTCCCCAAGACCATATTTTATCACAGGTTTGGTGAATTAATAAAAGAAAACCAGGAGATACATTTGATCGAATTATTACATTACCAATTTAAAGTTTTCAAATGAAATATTAGGTCACCATTTCACAATGTCTTTCGAGCTAATACAGATTTTAAAAATCAGTAGATGTAAAATTATTGAATTGGCAACTTGTCTTTTTAGTTGTAGCCATTCTAATAACTCCTCATCTCCAAGTATCCCATTTGTATGTGTATGTGTGTTTAGATTCTATAGCAGTTTACCTTGAGGTCATCAAAAGTATTACATAAAATTTATGCCTTGGAGGAGTTGTTTTCAGCTAGTTCAAAAATTGAGTTTATTTTCCAGATTTCAGATACAGTATAACAAAATCAGTTACGTGGTGAAACCCTTAAAACACATTGTACCTTGCTTGAGACACTTACCTCATTCTACCTTGAATTTTATAATAGTCTTTTTCCTTTCCTAGACTACAGCTTTTAGCGATAGAGTAGCAATCCTGTTTTATTTTTATCTCATAAAGGCTCATATAGTCATTTGTTGACATTAATTGCTCAGTGAAAGTTTTGTTGAATAAATACATTAAATGAAATATGATAATGGATATTGAAGGCTTTGTATAACAGAAATTAAACATTGCCTATATTCTTAGAATTATAGATTCTTAGAGAATTGTAATGGATGTGTAGTTCAGTTTTTCCTACTCACCTCCTAGTATAGAGATTCTATTTTTAGGATTTCTGATAGATAACCGTTCAGCCTTTTGGATATCTTCAATAGGGGGAAGCTAATGAAGCAGTACATTCCGTTGTTAAAAAGCTTTAGTTGTAAAAAAAAGATTATTTTTGTGTGCAGACTGAAAAACATCTCCCTGAAACTTTGGCCAGTTAGTTGAATATGTGGAACAAATGCTTCTTTAAGATATGATGGTCTTCAAATATTTGAAGATGATTTGAATATTTGTACTGAGTCTGTGTTGTCCTTTGACCACCTACTCCTAGTTCTTCACCGGTTCCTCATTGTCAACATTTCTAGATCCTTACCACTCGGTTGTTTTCTTCTCTGTGCACTGTAGTTTGTCACTGTCCTCTTAAAAAGTGGCATGTAGCATTGTATTTACTGAGCAAGTGTTTATTGAGGGCCTGTTGAGCGGCAGGTGTACTGTCCTAAGTACGGAGGCTATCACAGTGACCAAGACAGACATTCTTGTAGGGAAGACCACCAACATTAGAGGCCATAATGAGTGCTGTGGAGAAAAGAACCACAGTGCTGTGGCAAAGAGTGGTGGAGACAAGTGGCTACTGTAGGTGGGGTGGGCATCCAAAGAGTAAAGGCACAGAGTTGGGAACAATGTTGGTGTAACCTAAGAATTAATGGAAGGCCATTGTGGCTGAGCAGCAAAGGGATTGAGGGGCAGAGTGGCAGGAGATGAAGCTGGAGAGGAAGGCAGGGGTCAGATCCTGCAGCTTCTCTGGCCTTGGTAAGGAATTTGTATTTTATCCACGTGTAATGGGAAGCCATTGAATGTGAGACTTACTAATGAGATTAAAACCAAGAAACAAAGGAAAAAAAACCCAAACCAGAACTTAGGTATTCAGTTCAGCGTTGACTCTCAAGGCAGTTACCCTGAAAGAGTATATACTGTCCTTACACAGAGTTTTGGAATCTTTTGCTTTTGAAAGTGCCATCAGAGCCAGTTTAGAAAAAGAATACAATTACATGTGTTATAAACCCCACAATACATTCTTATTGTTTTTTTTGCTTACATAGTAAATTATCTTTTAAAGAGATTTAAATAATAATGACAATAGTAAGATCTTATTTACTCATTGTCATGGTTTGAATTATGTCCCCCAAAAAATGTGTGTATCAATTTGGCTGGGCCATGATTCCCAGAGTTGTGTGGTTGGCCTCCATTTTGTGATTGTAATTTTATGTTAAAGAGGATTAGGGTGGGAT